ACTAGGAGCAAGGACGGTACTAGGGGCTCCTGGCCTTACTACTAGGAACAATGTTCGCTACATGACACACTGTCTGCCTCCCAGCGGAAAGTCGCGCCGCAAGAGATCCCGGTCAGCCGCGAGGACACGGGCATTGCACAAGCGCTGAAAGCCCTCCTCCAAAAGATCGAAGTCTTGCAGCGCCTCGAAGTTCAAGTTGTGTTCTTTGTCCAAATTGAATTGTTTTCCAAATAGTTTATGCTTCTGATTGTCAGATCTGCAAGAGTGTGGAGTGCTCAATACGTCCACAGTTCTGCCATGTCGCATTTCCAGCGGCATTCTCAAGACACCAATGCGGCTCTGCACAAGCTTCAGCCGGAACGGGACGCCAAAAGTAGCCATGGCCCAACCATTCCTGTGAATGATAACAAGATTCTTGAGCAGCCAGATTTCTCAGGGAGGGAGGGGTGTTGAATTCTGCAAATGAGCGGCTTGGGGCTTGTTGTGTTTGCCAAAGCTCCACCAACAGAGTGATTCCTGGAAGCAAGGCTACAACCAAAGTTATGCATGTTGCTTCGTTGCACCTTTGGTGAGAGGACCAAAGGGGACAACGAGAATCTGCCAGCCTCTACGTACTCACACGGAGTTGGAGGCGGGAGAACAGCACTGCCCCATCCGCGAGCCAAAGCAGCTAATTCCGGCCTGGAGCATGAAAGAGATGCTCGTGGTAGAAGAAAAGGGAGCCAACTTTGGCCCCATGGCTATGCCATACTTTCCTTGTTTCGTGCCTTGGCCATGAGTCCTTGCAAACGGTCAAACGCACCGTGTGATTGTACCTCAGCGGCTTCTGAGTCTCCTCTAGCAAGAAGTCCCACAACATGAAATCCTCACGACATGCGGCAAAATCAAATCCAGGTCGAACCATGTTTAAGATGCAAGAAGTACATGAATCATCATGAATCAGGCCGTTGAGAAATCTGTGATACGATGTTTTGCCTGGCTGCCAGGACAACACCGCACGTATAGCTGCCTCTGCTGGACTTAGCTCGGTTGCTGCTGAAGCTTGCCTTGGAGATCTCTCAGCAAGCATTCGTGATAGTAAGGACTAGAAAAGGAATGGCCTCCAACCTAATAGCTATGGCCTCCAACTTAAGAGCAAGAAAAGGACTGGAAAAGGTCAAGACCGGTCTTGCGAAGACGCATGAGTCTCTCATTCATGTCTAGGCTTGAAATGTCAGCTGATGGGAGTAGGAGCAAAGGACGCTACTAGGGGCTCCTGGCCTTACTACTAGGAGCAAGGACGCTACTAGGGGCTCCTGGCCTTACTACTAGGAGCAAGAAGCTACTAGTAACAAGGGCCTCGCTACTAGTAACAAGAAGTCAGGCTGATTTTCTCACGCTGCCCCAGCGCTCCGAGGGTGCTGGCCTGTAGGCTTCGATGGTTGTGTGCAAGTGATCCTTTGCCTTACGAGCATTACATCCTGGATGCCCTGCTTGTAGCGATCGCGTGTTGGCCTGGTCTCCACAGGAAAAGACCGATTCCCTTGCCAAAGCCGAATCTATTTCTTTATTTTGGTGTTTGCTCTTTCATGGTGAGTTTGATCTGAAGAATCTGGCCAGATCCCAGCCCTCAGAGTGAAACTGCAGGTGTCAGTCTCTAAGCGCCTCAAAGTAGATTTTGCTTCTGGCCTGCCAGACTGCTCGCACCATGACTAGCAGCTCCTGGCGTGGTCGAGAATGCGCCAGGGATCAGTTTCTTTAAACAGATTCCTGGTGAATAGAAAGAGCTTTGCAGCATCTGCCGCCACTCCTCCACATGGGGAGGATGATGAAAAGATCCTGGAAGAACATATCTGCCATCCTGCAAGCAGCGTCGCTCAACAGAAGGAAGCAAGCATGCAAACGGAATCCAGGGTTCCTCGCAGCAAAAAGAGAAAGAGAGAGAGCCTAATAGCCATTGCCTCCAACCTACAAGCGATGGCCTCCAACCTAAGAGATCCTAAGAGCAATGGCCTCCAACCTGCGAACGATGGCCTCCAACCTAGAAGCGATGGCCTCCAACCTAAGAGCG